AGGGTTTCCTGCCCCGACGTGAGCCTAGTAAAGAAAATTCGTGGTTTTGAGGTTTTGGCACACTTCCGCTAAAAAGGCGCGTGTAAGAGTGGGGCTGGAGGGTTCTGTGTTGTTTTAGGAGATGATTAAGTTACGTTAGCGCCGAAAAAAAGGCATTGGGACTCGCAAAGGGCATACCATTGCAGTCCTCATCCTTCCCCATCTCGTCACCATGCTTCATAATGATCCGGCTCAAAGGCGCATCCAAAGCGCTCGACAGCGTTTCTAAGCAACTGAATAGCCTCAATCGTTCACTCTCTCTTGTGCGCTACGAAGAAACGCTCCAGATGGCAGCCGTAGAACAGCAAGTGCGGAGCATAGCGGAGCCGGGAGGTCGCGGAAGAGCTAACGTCCTCTTTGGATGCACTGGCAGCCGAAAAACGGAAAATGCCCATCCTGCAGCCGATCCACTCACTGAGGGCCGGGCACAAGGAAGACAAGCAGTTTGAGGACATCTTCGATCGGCTGGACGGGCAAGAGATCTGCTTGTCTTACACCGGCCCAGGATCGAGTGATGAGGAACCTTGAAGAGGGATTTTCTGTCACATTTGGTATGCTCATGGACACAAACAACCCCAACTGGGAGCCCAATCTCACAGTTCTCTACGTTACGCTATGGCAAATTCTCTTTCTGCTTCCTCCTCTATTCTCATACCCTCGCCAGACATGAGTCCATGCATATAACATTCACCCACCAGATACCATCTCCCGCTTGTCGCCATCCTTATGATATAGGGTACGCTAGCGCCGTAGAAGACGACAATCAAGTCCCCCTTCTTTGCCCTCATTGGAACATAGCCCACCAGTCCCATCTCGGTGGACGCGAAGCGACGCGACTGCGCAGTCCGAATGACCGCCTCAGCCACGTCTCCGACGGGGCCTCGCCAGCGCCTTACGAAGGACGGATCCAGTTTTGGACCGTCAAGAACGAGGCGGACGTATGCTGCTACCAAGCACAGGAATGGCCCCGTAGCTTCCTGGCCGAAGTCTGTTCGGTTGCAGACCATAGTTCGTACGAATGACTCCCACCGCGCAGGAACCCAGTCAACCGGGATACCTGTCTCATATTCCCCTTTCTTGGTATCCAAGTTGCCCCCCGCCAGGATATGACGGCCCCCTCTAGTCCATCGATCCATTGCCGTTAGCCAGATGTCCCTTGCCTCTTCGATCATTCCCTTGTTGGTTTCAAATGGCTCGTACCAGTTCGCCTTCTGTACTTTCCGCCGGTCGTCTACGTCGGGCACGGCAACGGTCTTCTCCCCAACCGTGTGGATTCTGTCAATGGCCCTGCCCCTCAGATACAACACAGTGCCGTCTTCGGACACCCGTGCCTGAGCGGAGCTCTTACCACTCGCGTGGAAACTCGCACGGTTTTCCCACCGCGTCAGACCGTGATGTGGATCGAGTCTCGTAAAGTCAGGTACCCAAGAAGGAAACGCATCCCCCAGCTCGCCGCCAGCTTTATCCGAACTACAACCAAGAACTCTCAGGCTTCTATTGTTGAAAATCTCCCAGAGCACAAAGTTCCGGAACACATCCCCGGTCGAAATCTTATAGTCTGGTGTGACGTATCCGCTTCGAGAGGTATCCTCGGCTGTCACGCCAAGCATGCCAAAGATCTTGTCGCGCGGGTTGGTACACTGAAATCCTCTACTATCGGTAACCAAGTCCAGCAGCTTGGTGTACTCCTGCCGACGCACCCGCGACCCCGTCACCAGCCAGCTCATAAGCCACATTTCGGGCATCAGGATGTGGCGATAGCGATCCCGCCGCGCCGCGCGCATCATGTGCACGCCTCGGACGGCGAAGTCGATTAGGTGGTAGTCCCTGATCGGTCCGACCTTGCCTAAGTACATGTTCATGGCGACCACGACCCGCTCGAACATTGCCCACGACACGGCCTCGTCGCCGCAGATGACCTGGGCGCGTTTGGCGAGGATGGCCTCCTGGATAATCCAAGTACGCTGGAACCACGGGCGCTGTAGCAAGGCGATGACCGGATCCCAGTTGAACCTGTCGTTTTCAGGGATCGGCTTCATATTTGGAAGCATGTCGATGAGGGCATTGCCTAACGCGCCTAGGGACGCGAGCCTTGAACAGTAGCCCTGGATGTGAAGGGGCATGAACTTCCAGTCGAGGAAGCGGATGTGTTTCAGAGCGTCCTCGACGCTCGGGTCCGTTTTGCCAAGGTAGATGAGTACCTGTCTCGCCCGCGAGTAGATCTCTCCCATGAGCATAATTTGCGTGGCCTTCTCGTCGTTGTCGACCTGGTTGATGCAGACGGCGTCCACCCAGAGAAGCCGTTCGCGGTCGCGATACCGCAAGTCGTTCAGGGCGTCGTAGAGGCTGACAGTGACGGGTATAGCGTGGCCGGAACAGCGCAGCGGGCGGGTCACGGTAGAACTACCCCATACATATGACAGGGCTTCGTATTTGGTACGCCAGCTTAGCTGAACATTGACTAGGCGGCATCTCACTTCGTCGCCCGGCTCACCGGGCTCGAGGACGAGCAGCCGGATTTCTTTTGCTCGGGTGATGGGCTGGTAGGGAGTGTCGCTTGGGGAGTTTGGACAGGGTTTCACTTTCTTCAAAGGCAGCAGACGGAAGACGGTCGATTGGGCCATGGTGTCGAAGAGGCCGTAATCTCTCAGCGGCTCGTATGCAAAAAAGATGATGAACTGAGCGGTAAAAGAGAGAAAAAGATAAGCATCGAGGCGCTCTTTGAATGTTAACGGCTGCCGGCGTGGTGTTTCATACTGGAATTGGGAGTGACAATGAATGCGAGGGTTGGGCCGCAATCGAGATTGAGAAGAGTAGCTGCCTCGCCGCACCCCTCGTGGGAGCAATATCCTGGAGGCGAACATGGTATTGTCTTTCCGGCCGAAAGACAGGATGCTGAAGAGGTTGGGGCTTGTGGTTAGAACTGCATTGAAAGCTGTAGGCATCAGTTGATGCTCAAGAGGGTGCGGGGTTTCCTTGGCGTCGTTCACGTGTAGCCTATAACAACTGGAAGCGGCCAAGGTGTCAAGCGAGTGCATGCCTACATAGGTATATATGGTGCGACCAGTTGGGCACCTCTACCATACGGGGAAGGGGGGCTCCTACAACAGAGCTTTGGTGACTCTGTTACGGCCGGAACAGAGTAAGTTGTGGAGCACTATGCTAGCATTACCCTACGCAGGCCAGAGTAGCCTGCAGGGTTTGTCGTAACAGAATGTTCAAAGAACGGTCTGCTCCATACTACTATATACTGTTCCCAATATATAATGTTAGGTTAGTAACATACTGTTCGGACAGCAATAGACTGCTGTTGGCTCTGTTGTATGTGCTATTGTGGGCTAAAAGTTAGGGCCCCTATAGGTCGCTGAACCTGTAGGGGCCATTGTCGTTGGTTGCCAACGCCTTGGGGTACTGACCTTGATGATGAAAAATATGGCCTTACTTAGAGTTGAACTTATAGCCTACTGATTACATAGTTTACATTTACATGTTACAAGGCAATTACACTACAAGCACGCGTGATGAGCGATCCAAACTGCTGGACTATAAGGGGCGTGGCAGGAGGAAGGGAAGGAACGATAGGTCGTGATGGCCACCTCTTGTATCAGACTGAAAGATGTGTCTAATACTGTTATCGAAGAACAGAGTACTAGTGGTAATATAGGATATCTTCCAAAACAGGCTGTTCCAGGTAGGAATACAAGGGCATCCTGTTGAGGCCAGTAACAGTGTGTTCCTTGAATCTTGGCTCTGTTGCGGAACTAACAGTATTACCGCAAGCTGTTGTAGGATCCCCATCCCCCGGCATGGTATGAGTCGCTGGCAGCGAATGAAAATTAAGGCGCACCGAATCCCCGGCTTTGCATGGCGGCACATCCAGAGGGTCCAAGGCTCCATTGCCCAATGCCCCTAACCCCCGAGATTATCCATTCCAAAGTTTGCAATCAATAATGCCGCAGACGACTATTATGCAGAAGACACGATCAACGATGAGGGCAAAGACTGGGAGGAAGAGTCTGGCAAGAAGAGCGACAGCTCGACATACGAAGGGAGGTTTCTGCTCCGGCTCGTCTTTTCAACCGCCGCCAACCCACTAGTCTGTCGGTCGCATATCGCCCTGCATTCGCTTATGCAAATCATCACTAAGTTACCCTCTCGCCAAGCGAAATTCGACGAAGACTCCTTGAGGTCGAGCTGGACAGGAAGCTCCGCATATCCCTCGCCTGCGAACGGTCCCAAAGAAACATTGGGCTTCTTAACGAGAAGGTGGTCATCAACATGGATAGCCTGGGACTACTATAGGGTCTGGTGAACCTGCTCGTAATTATACGGTATTCCTCCCTCATTGCTCTCTCGCAGTCTTTAGGAAGAGGTCACCTTGGCACACATCGCTGTTCATTCCGCCGATATCACGTGTGTGGCCCGTTGCTTCGGCTAACAATTGCCTGCTGCAGAAAAGTGCATGATGTCGAGCGACCTAGGGCATATATACACTGTGTGAATTTGAGAACCATGAGGACCCGAGACGGGTTGGTCTTGGGCCCGCTCCGCCGGCACACTCCGCCGTCACGGCCCCACCCGATCCGGAAGACCTACCCGCAGTTGCAACCGCGCCCGTCTGGCCGACCGACCCGGTCTTGGCGGTCGGACGGCAGCAGGGCTGGCTCAGCAATAGCCAGCTCGGACTTGTCATCCTCACAGGCTGATATGATAGCCAACAAAGAGAGCATGGAGACTGACCAAAACAGCGTTCAAGTGAAATTGCGTCGGCAATTTCCGCAGGAAAGACGCTACGCGTGGGCCGAAATCAAAGAGAGAAGTAGCTATCGCCCACTTCAAAATAGATCCCCGTCGGCTGAGCAGCGCGCCGTCATCACCCGGATGCGCACCGGCCTCCTAAGGCGGGGTTCGGACGGGAGAGTTGGCAGGGAGGAACGGACGGGTATCGTTTGAATGAGGACGTATCTTGCGAGTGGTACAAAGTGTAGCGTGTGCGGGGTCTGAGCTGAACAGGCCGGCGACCAGCAGCGCGTAGAACTGCAAGACCAGACCATAGGGTAGGACCGCGCCGCAGACCATGTGACGGAGCAGGCGGACTTGCCAAGTTGCCTCCAACGCGGAATAGGATTCTGACCCCCAAAATCGGTCTGCCTCCCCATCGTTGACGCCAGTGCCAGCAATAAGCCAAGCTGTCGCAAGCCAATTCAAGCCGGGCTCTGGCGAAATAAGCCAAGCTAGACCCCCCAGACTTCAATCCTGTGGCGGCCCGACTCGCAAGGGCTTGCCAAGGCTTACCTGGGCCCAGTTTTTGCCCTATACTGGCCTGTGCTTAGTTAGTCAGGCTTGATAGGGTGGTTCGACAGGGTGGTGATACTTTCCTTGGTGGAATGCCCCTCCTAGACCAGGGCATAGAACTATAGAGTTAGGGTCTTAGGGCTATTATAGCATACAAGGACAATAGGTAAGCGGGAAAGTAGGTAGTGACAGGGGGTTTAGGCCGGAATAACTATATCTAGAAGTCTTGGCAAGAGCTTATAAGCCGAGCCAATTCAAGCCAAGCTAGGAGAATTTTAGGTAAGCAAAGTCAAGCTAGAGGTCCGGCTTAGCTTGGCTTAGCTTA